TCCTCTGCATTGAGCACCTGCGTGTTCTCAAGCACTCATCCCAGCGAGTCCCGAGCAGGGCCGGCAGCATGGGGCCAGGACCCCCAGCCGGGCTTTCCCTCGCACTTACCTCGCCATGGCCAGGTCACTTCCCGTGGTGCCTCTGGTACCGAGCGCCAGGATGGGGAGAGGGCTTTGGTGCCCGGGACCCTCAGTGACTGCATTGGGACGATTTGTTTCCTCTTTTGGTAATGCTATCTCCAATTTGTAATCAAGAATGCACCATTTTGCTTTGCAGGAACAATTCTGTCTGCTTTCTTCTGAGAGCTCACCTGCTCCGAGCGGTCCTCTCAAACAAGCCCGTCTTCAGTTTTTGAAGACTGTGCTGAAAAGGTAAGTGCAGATGTAACACGCTTTGCTTTGGTAAGAAAATTGACTTAGTGCTGTGGGACATTTTGATTTAAAAGCTTAGCTGTGTACAGTGCTAATAAAGAACTATTAAATGACTCTAAAAGCCTAACTGATGAATTTAAAATGTGTTTGTCAACAGAAATTTCTTTTTTGGCTGAGTGTGTTCCTAGAAAGGTCCCTAAAAGACCTCTGCTGGTGCTGGTGGCATTCAGTAACTTACTCTGTGGTCTAAAAGCAGCAAGAAAACATGGGTGTTGAAAATATGTGGATGACCTATGGTTAAAATCACAGACTGGAGATCACAGACAGGCAAGGAACCCCCACAGACGCGTGTGCAAGGTGGTGGTATAGGTGACCCCCCCCAGATGCGTGTGCAAGGCAGTGGTGTAGGTGACCTCCCCCTCGCCCCCCAGACACGTGTGCAAGGCAGAGGCAAAGGTGATGCAGGGGCAGCACAGAGACTGCGTTGTGGCGTTCAGCAGAGGTGAGACCAGCACTGGAAAATGACATCCAGAGTTTTACATTTTGAAAAGTTATTAAGACATCTGAGAGGATTCAGAAAAGAAACATGAAAATTAACTGAGGTTTGGAGGAAACACCTTACTTTGATCTTTCTAAGCCTTACAATCGCATCGGAGAGAAGGTTGAGTGGTGATTTGATTATGGTGCCCAAACACCTTTCCAGGGAGAGAAGGCGCTTTGGGTGTCAGCACTGGGAAGGAGGTGCAAAGCTGCTGGTAAACTGCTCTCAGAGATAACTTATCGACATCTCACCAGCAAAGGGCGGTGAGGTTCCCCCTCACTTGATGTCTCAGAAGAGTTGGGAAATTAGTTCTACCTGGTATTTTAACTGGTGACAAGTGCAACATCCAAAGGCAAGAAATTCCCATATAGAAGAGAAGGAAGAGCAATGTGGGATTATGGACAGCATCACTACAGCAAAGGATCCAGGTGAGCAGCAGCGGGGCATGGACACGTGCTAATTAAGTCACTTGCAAAAAGAACAAACCTCAATTTTGGGATATATTCGTGGGAGATTGAAGAATTTCAAATCAGTTTAAAATGTTAATTAGAATTAGCTTACATTCATTCGATCACCTGAGCTCCCTAGCTGATGTAGCGAGGTCCGTTTCTAATGCCAACCCTTATGGTTCTGTGACAAGAGCCAGTGGGGTATCAGCGCCGCAGAGGTTCAGGCAGAGCATGAGTGTCCTGGTTTTGGCTGCTCTGGTACGTGTGATGTGCTCGGCCGTGTCTTTAGTGAAGCACGGGAAAGAGGGGGGGGCTGAAGTCTCGTCAGCCTTCTCCCAGACGTACCAGCTGGCCCAGGAAAAGCGACGCTCCCTCCAGCATGTTTCTGTGGTGGGGTGCTGGTCTCTTCTCTGCCTCCTGATGCCTGCAGGTCTCAGCCAGGCACCTCCAGGGAATTCCTGCTTTAGCCAAACATCATCTGTACTTAGTAAAAAAAAGTTACTGGTCTCACCACAGAGGTCACTGGTTGAAATTTTACAGCCAGTGAAGCCCAGAACGGGATCTGGAATGCCTCTCCCCAGCCCTCGAGTCGGTGTGTCCCCTAACTCCATGGAGAAGGGGACGCTGGCGCCAGGTACGGGGCAGCTGTTGTTCGGGGAAAAGTGGCACCTGACTGATGCCATGCTCAGAGCCTGTGGGTGTTATCTTTGGCATTTAATTTTAATTGGGGAAATGATGGAGAAAAGCTGGAAGAAAATAAGTTTGATGTGACACCGTGTCTTGGGCAGGAGATGTTCTGCTGACCTCAGCGATCTGGCTATCACAGAACAGCCCCCATCTCCACTGTGATGAGCAGAGGGAAACGTTGCCTGAAACCAGCCCATCACATGAGACATCCCAAAATTAGACTTCTGACACCAGTCCTTTCAAGATGGATTTTCAAATCTGTCCCTTTTTCTTGGTCATCCAAGAAATTCTGCTTGGGGTTTGCATTTAAATTAATATTTTTTAGTCTAATCTTTCCTTTTCACTGATTTTACTTGACTTTCCTCTGTTCAAGGAAATTAAGCCTTTTGAAGCACTACATGAACTTGTTGGTGGCTGGGATTATCACCTATTTGTCCGGATTGATTGCAATCCCATTATGATCACTAATTGTAGGACAACCGCTCATGGATTATACCAGCACCCATCCATTTCAGAGCATCAAATCACAGGGTCCACTCACGATCTTGACCTCAAAAGCCAAATGCAAATCGAGGGGCAGTGTGAGATCTACAGCCGTAATATTGATTGGTGCTCTGCCCCAGATCTGAAGGCAGCAGTTTCAGGCTGAGCAGCTCCCCGTAGGCTTGAGGAGGTGCCTGCTTCTTAACTAGACCCATTGGTGTCCGTGGGTTGCAGGATGAATGTGGCTGCTTAGGTTCATCTTTTCAGGTTTCATTTTTCATCCAGCTTTGGATAATGTTCACTTTCAGTGCTCTGCTGGTGCATAAAGATAAGGAGAAAAGCAGAAAGCAATGGATTTTTCTTTTTCTCTTGTTCCTTCTCCAAGAAAGAAATGGAAAATATTGAAACATATACGTGTGTGTATGTATGTACGTATATTTATTTAAAAAAAGACTAATCCTGCTGCCTGGGCTCCACAGACCTTACAGAAATATAGGAATCTCCCCATGGACCTCTGGAAATTCCCCAGGCTGCAATAACTCATGCTTTCCAGGTGTTAACTTAATGAAAACGCAGCCGTTTGCCCAGGAGCCTTCATGGGGTGATGGTGCAGGACCACATAAACATGTTTCAGAAACATCCAGGACCTGCAGCCTTCTACTGGCCCTCCCCTCTGAGGAGACAGGAGACCAAGAGAAAGGGCCCAAGACAGTTGTTCTGGACAGACAAAATCATCAAAGTGGTTTTCTGGGAGATACCCGCAAGGCAACCTTGCCAGATGGCTCTTTCTTTTCATATGTAGGTAGACTGGGAAACCCTCGGCACATGATACCAAAGGAGCTTTCTGAAGAAAAGACCCCAGCCACTTTGGTGGCACTGGGCGTGAAGCCGTTTTATATGGTCAATACACCCAAGGAAACTGGGTCTCAGACTGAAGTGTCAGTGGGAGAGGACTCAGAAAACAGACTCATTGGTCAGGGACAGGCTCACAGGGGCAGGGGCACCCATCCAGCACCTCCGGAGGGATTTGGACAGGGGACCCTTGGACTGCTTGGTGTCATCTGCAGCCAGCCGGTTCAGTTCGCTGCCGTGAAAAAGAACAGAAAGACACAAATAAAAACACAGTCTTCAAAAAAGGCTCCGGGCACTGCAGACCAGGGTGTGCAACTTGTGTGCCCACTACATCAGCAGAAACTGTAGTACAGAACAGACGCAGACGTGGTTACATCGGACATATTAGGGAAGAGCCAGACCAGCTTTTGTAAAGCAAACTTATGACTCACAAATCCATTAAGAGGTCTTGGAAAGCATCAACGAGTGTACAGCTGAGGCTGATCCAGGCGCTATAATAGACGTGGATTTTCTAAAAGCTTTCAGCAAAACCCTCATAAAAGTTTTTTTTCTAATAAAACCCTTCTCTCAGTGTAGGCTGCAGGAACCGCACTCTCGAGGAATCCTGGCAGGCCAAAAGAGGGAGACAAAGAGAGCAGGGATGTGCGGCTCCCACCCACACTCCCCCAGCACCCAGCTGCCTGCATCCCAGAGGATTCCTGAGCCCAGGGAGGCGTTTCTGGTTAGAAACCCTCAAGAGATCTCTCCTCCTCCTGCAACCTTTCCCAACACCACCTCTGAGAAGGGTGGTGGGTGGGAGCCAGTCCCCATCTGCTCCCAGCACAGCCCAGGCCCGGCTCTGCAGCCACCCTGTGAGCCCCCTGGGCATCAAAGCATCACTGCCCCGTGGGGCTTTGGTCCCAGTGGGACCGAGGGAGAAATTCATTGGGGTCTTGATTCCCTCAGCTGGCCATTTTTCAGTTCTTCCTTCATCTCCCTATTATACTTTCTCATTTAATCTGTCAGGGCTTATGATCCTGTTTTCTTCGTTTCTCAGCTTTTTGGAAGATTCTCTTTCGTTTCCATCAATCTCCCCGGCTCGGCTGGGCAGCAAGCTCAGCTGGCTCTCACGCTGCCTGCAGGCCGGAATGGATGCACACGCCTGTGGTGCTGCCAGCGCGGTGCCCTGCCGGAGCCTTTCTGTTCTCATGGTCACCCCTCGCAGGCTGTTTTTAGGGGTGGGCACAGCCAGGGTGGGCTTTATTGGCCCCTGCCTAACAGGAGCAACAGGGCTGGCAGCGTGATGGTTGCGACTGTGGCGATCAGTGCGACCGCCTGCGGCTTCATTAGATGGACCCACCAACTGCTCTTGTGTCCTGCCCACCACAGCCCCACAGTCTCTGAGCATCCCCCTGTGACAGTCCCCCCTGCAGTGCCACCCCCACCCCGCCCTTCGCCGAAGCAGCCTGTACCGGGCGTGCAAGCGAGGCGACAGCAGCGAGGCCCTGTGGGCAGGGAGGGGGTGACCGGAGAGGGG